CTCTCTCTCTCTCTCTCCCCTAAACCCTAAACCCTAAACTCTAAACCCTAAACCTCTAACTCTCTCTCTCGCCCTCCCTCTCTATGTACACAGCCTGTAATGTGAGCTCTCGGGGTTGGCCTAGTGCCGAAGCTTTCAGGACTGTGGGTCTAGGGTTATTAGGGAAGGGTTTAGGGCTTAGGGTTTAGGGTTTAGGGTTTAGGGTTTGGGGTTTTGGGTTTAGGGTTTAAGGGCTTAGGGGCTTAGGGCTTAGGGGATTAGGGTTTAGGGGCTTTGGGTCTAGTTTTTGGCTCCAGGGTTTCAGGCTGCCTGGTTTAGATTTAGATTTAGGGTCGACGCGAGCATTGAGATCGGTTTAAGATGACATCCTGGTGAAGCCCCGAAACCGTTCTAATCGTTTAAGGTTTAAGGGTTTAGGGTCTAGGGTTTAGGGGTGTTGGGTTTAGGGTTTAGGGCCTGGATCTAATTTGAGTTTAGGACATTTTCAGGTGGGTAGTTACCGTTATAGGAGCCATATAGAAGGTCTGTATACCTTATAATATAGAAGCCTTATAGCAGCCCTATATACCCTAAACTCCCCACCTGTATTTGCTTTTAACTCAATTCAAGACCCTGCTTCGTCGAAGAAGGGGGTTCACAATAAAGCGATGCCTAGTCAGCGCATAAGCTTTAAAAAGCCCTAAACTTCAAGAAACCCCAATGTAAACCCTAAACCCCTAGACCCTAAACCGTGGCACCATAAAAATGCGGAAGATCCTTGAGGTATCACAAGACTTGCTAAGTAGGTTACCATCACCAGTCAGGAGGAGAAGCCCATTTCAAGGTTTAGGATGTAGGGGTATTGGTTTGAAGCTTAGGGTCTAGGGTTTAGGGGTTTCTGGGTCCTTGTTGGATACGAATTTTACAGTTTTGTTATAATAAAAGCCCCAATTAGGCTATTAACAATGAACATTTTTAGTATGGCACCAACAGGGAGCCAGTTTATTGTTTAGGGGTTTGGTAGGTTTAAACCCTAAACCCTAAAGCCCCTAAACCCTAAACCCTAAGCACTAAACCCTAAACCCTAAAGCCCCTAAGCCCTAAACCCCTAAACCCTAAACCCCTAAAGCCCTAA